AATCCAGGGTGGAAAGGGGGAGAGTGCTGACACATTGCAGGGATTGCAACTAATGTCACAAAACAATTTGTGTATAAAATTTTTGAATGAAAAACTAATTTGTGCTGTAAACTTTCACCTAAAACATAATAAAATTTAAAAAATGTTCTAAATCCTACTTTGGTGAGTAGCGTCTGGGGTCTTAAAAGTTTTTGAGTGGCCATCTAAAATACAGCTATTGGTCTCCTTCTGTCCAGAGCAAAGGAGAGTGAAGAAAACTAAAGACTCAAGGAAACAATTAGTCCAAAGGACTAGTGGACCACAGGAACCACAGCCTCTACCAGCCTGAGACCAGAAGAACTAGATGGTGCCCGGCTACCACTACCTACCGCTGTGACCAGGATCACAATAGAAGGTCCTGCTTAGAGCGGGGGGAAAAAAAAATTAGAATAAAATTCAAATTCATAAAAAAGACCAGATTTACTTGTCCAAGAGAGACTGGCAGAACCCCTGAGACTATAGCCATTGAACAACTTTCTAACTTGGAAGTGAAGTCATTCCCGGAGATCACCTTTCAGCCAAATAATAGACCTGTGAATAAACAATAACGCCCGTGAGGAAAGTGCTCCTTAGAACAATCATCAATATGAGACCAAAAGGGCAACACCTGCCCAAAAGCAAAGATGAGAAGGCAGGAAGGGCAGGAAAACCGGACGAATGGAAATGGGGAATTCAGGGTGGTAATGGGGAGAGTGCTGACACATGGTGGGGAGTATGCAGCCTATGTCATGGAACAATTTGTGTAGAAACTATTGAATGGGAAACTAATTTGCTCTGAAAACCCCCACCTAAAGCACAGTTAAAAAAAAAAAAAACTACATGGATCACAACAGAATATTGTCTGATATAGTGCTGGAAGATGAGCCCTTTAAGTTGGAAGGCACTCAAAATACATAGTGGCCACAGCAGTGGACTCGAGCATACCAACGATCCCGAAGGTGGCCCAGGGCCAGGCAATGTTTCATTCTGTTGTACGCGGGGTCGCCATGACATGGAGCCAACTTGACGGCAACAACAACATTTCTGGTAAAACCTCCACTGGAGTTCAAAGAAATTCATTAATCACATCCTGGCAAAGCACTGGGCATGTTGTTACTTCCCAGGAAGTGGTTACAGGTGCTGTTTTTTGGCTGAGCAGCATCCCAGCCCTCCTCCTTACGCAAGAATTTCTGTAGAGCCAGTGAAAGGGGCTCCCTTTTCCTTCCTGGAACTGAGTCTCCCAGTGGGAAGCAGGCAGCCCCCTTCATCTCTGGGATTGGGAAATGGGCAGAGGTTGTGAAGTGTGTGTTTTTATACACTAGAATCACACCTAGTCCCGGCTCCTGTGAGCACTTGGAGAGCAAGTTGGCATGAATGGACCAGCCATGTGGGCTGGGCATCTGCTCTCTTCTGGTCTCATGGGTGTGGAAGAGGCGTTTCTGGGGCGAACAAGCCACGGGCAAGCCTGAACTGAACAGCAGAGTGATTTAGTGTCATGTAAAGCTAACTCCTTTGAGGAATAGTATCACAAAAGCATGGACTGGTGAATTTTGGGCCCATGGCTGTGTTGGTTGTTACAGACACGGTCATATACACTCATTTACAGCATTCTTACCTGCCTACCTGCATAGAAGGGAGCAAGGACATAGACAGCAGAAGGCCAAATACAGTTATCACTTACGCACTGCTCAAGGCCTACGAACTCTTAGTTTGAACACAGTTCTAACTCATATTCTCCCCTAGTTTCATAGAAGGAGCAATCAACTACTGAAAAGGAAGGAGAGCTGCTTGTGCTACCAGAGGCAAGTACACTGAAAGGGGATTCAAGCTGATGGCAAAGGAGGAGACAGAAAAAGAAACTCTCAGAGTGGCCACCTAGAACCACTTGGTGGAGGATGGTCTCACACCCCCTCAGTGTCCAGGCTGTGACTGTGACATACGTGAGCCGTTTGTGCCACCCAGGGACTCCACAGTATAGTGAGGTGGGCACTATTGCTGTCTCCATTTTACAGATGAGGAAACTGAGGCACAAAGCGGTTAGGTAAGCTGTCAAAGGTCTAACAGCAAGGAAGTGCAGAGCCCAGATTTGAACCCGGGGAGTAGACGTCAGAGAGCGAGTCTTGCAGCCCGTACTAGGCTGCTGCAGTCCAGGACGGAGAAATCGGGCTGTGGGCCTCACCCTGTGCCCGGAGCTAGGGAGCAAGACCAGCACGATTCAGCATACACATGAGCCTTAATGTGTCCATTTCTCTGCAGACCGGAGAAAGTTTGTCATGCCTGGGCCCCTGCACCAGACCAGGATCTGCACACTTTTTCTGTAAATGTTATTAGCTTTGCGGGCCATATGATCTGCTGCATCCACCCAGCTCTGCCTTTGCAGTGGGAAAGCTGCCATTGACAATCTAATCGAATGGGTGTGGCGGGATTTGGCCCTGGGGCCGTACTTCCATCTGAACCCAAGTTGGAAGCCCCTGGCCCAATAAACCAAAACCCTTTGCTGTTGAGTCGATTCCCATTCGTAGCGACCCTATAGGGCAGAGTAGAACTGCCCCATAGGATTTCCAAGGAGCAGCTGGTGGATTTGAACTGCCGACTTTCTGGTTAGCAGCTGAACTCTTAACCACTGCGCCACCAGAGCTCTGGCCTGATAAATAGAGCCCTTCAGATCCAGCCCTTCTCTCCTTCAGCATCACCCCAACCACTCAGCCCCCTATCCTGCCAGTTGCCTGTAGTTGCAGTACCCCCTCTTCCAGCCCCACTGAGCCTCTGGTGAACTCCTGCTCATCCTCAGGTGAAACATCACCTCCTCCAGGAAGCCGTCCTTGACTGCCCCAGTTGGCATCGAGGTCAAGTGTCCCTCCTTGGGCCTTGGGCCTCCTCCATAGCTCCTGGCTCACCAGACTCTTGTGGTGAATTCCTTTCACCTGTTCCTACAATTAGGCTGTGCTTTCCTTGTGCTGTTTCTTTCCTGTTTTGTTGATATTTTTATCCCTGGAGTCAAGCATATTGTAAATACTTGGTAAATCATGAACAAATGAATAAATGAGGTTCCAGTTGACTAGCCCAGCAGCTGGGAGCAGGACCTGGGCTTCTGAAGACATGCTGTGAATGTGTGTCTTGCTGGTTTGGGGACGGCCCCTGAGCTATGCCCCCACCCGCACCCCCGGCCTTCCCGCTGGGAGCCCCGTAGATGTGGAAGGCCACAGCAGCTGGGTGTGAGTGCCCCTGAGGGCAGCAGCTGTAGCCAATCATTGCTGAACCCTCTGCCCGGCTCTTGGGAATCCCTCGCTGCCTTTGAGAGGCTTGGGGACAGCAGCGTGAGGACCCAGCTGGCTCCTCACAGCATTCCCAGGGTCCCCAAGGGGCCAGAGAGGCCGGGGAGCCACAGCCCCGTGTGCTAGCAGGGAGATGGGAAAGTGGATCAGCCTGGCCAGTGACTGGGGCCTCTGCCTTCTCACAAAATCCTTGTGACATTTAACAGGCAAGGGAAACTGAGGCACGGAATCCAGACGGGCAGTTAGACAAGAGCAGGAACTACCTTAACTGAGTGCCAGTACATATGGACAGCACTCTGGCCCAGCCACGGGCCATGCAGCGCGGGGGCTAGGGGCCAGGTCTGGGGCCAACCACCTGAGTTTGAATCTTGGGCTACGTCCCCATAGCTGTGAGTGATCGACCTAACCTCTCTGAGCCTCAACCACTCATCTGGAAAGTGGGAGAATACTGCTCCCTTTCCAGGCTGAATGGATGGGAAGCAAGGGCAGAGAGTACCTGGCTCACAGTAGGGGCTCGCTTGGTGACAACCCCCACCTGGGGACATCCACCTGACCCAGGGTGAGGCATCTTCATGATGTGGCCAATGACCTGTGCTCCTATCTGCCCGCAGCCGCCCTGGGCACGCTGGACTTCAGCCTGCTGTACGACCAGGAGAACAACGCCCTTCACTGCACCATCAGCAAGGCCAAGGTAGGCCCACCGTCCCCATCCCACAGGCCAGGGTCCTGGAGCTCAGAGACTGGAGGACAGGGGGCAGAGAGCAGACAAGGGGCAGCCGGCTTCTCTTTTCAGCCCTCCCCCCGCCTACTTCCGGTCCAGGCTTTGTGGTTCTTTGTGTGGGGGTTGCAGGCCAGGGAGGGAATTTTTGCCTAAACCATCTCAGCTGCCCACCCACCAAAAAGCCCTGTGCAGCAAGGCACGTGGAGGAAGGAATAAGAACCAAGAAGAGGATGAGAGGTTGAAGGCCGGGGCGGGGCTTTCAGGGGACCGAGGCCAGCAGGGCCTGGTGGGGGGGCTGGGAGGCCGGAAGGAAGAGAAAGGGAGTGGGGGGTGGTATGTCTGTCCTGCAGGCCCAGAGGGAGGGGTGGATTCTGATGCCTCTGGGCCCCTAAAGTTCCCAGCACACAGGCCTCCTGGACTCCCCACCAGGGTGGGTGGGCACTGCTGTCCTGCTCTGGCCTCTGGCCCCACTGCTGTTGGGGATTAATCTTTTGGAGTGTCAGGGCCTGAGCCCAGAAGGCTGTCAGTACCTGCTTTCTGGGCTGGCCAAGCTTTCAGCCAGCATTCCCAGGGGCCGTGGGTGTTCATGGACCCACTGAGGCCCCAGCCAGGCCCCCTGGTGCTCACCTGTACCCTGACCCTTTGCCCTCCTCACCTGTGGCCCTGCACCTGGGCCAGCATCATCAGCTCTGTGTTCTCACCCATGCTGTTCCCTTCGTCCCCCACACCACATGGCTCCCTCTGGGAGGAAGGTGCCAAAGTTGATGTTCTCTCGCAAGGTAAGGACAGCCTGTGTGACCTGGTAGAACCTTCCAGACAAAGTGTGTGTGTTGAGCTGAGAGGTCCTGGGCCAGTGCAGCTCAGATCAAGGTGCTTCCTGCAGAGCTGGCTGGGCTCAGACCTCACCCTCAACCTGCAGGTTTCCCTCTGTCCCTCCCTCTCACTCTCCCATCTGAGGGGCTGCCCAGGGCTCTGTGCCCAACCAGAGGGACAAGCTGCCTGGTGCCATCCCAGGCTGTGCCCCCAACCCCACCTGGGCCACCAGAGCTGGCCTGCATGGGCAGCTATGGGCACTGTCCACAGTGAACCAAGCCCAGATTGGGCACCAGGAGGCCAGCACACTCCCGGCCCTCTCCTCTGGGTGCTTCCCAGGCCTTGCCCAGAGGGTACGAGCCTCCCTCGAGGGGCTCCAGATCTGCCCCTAGGTACCGAGCTGAGAATCTGGTGGCTGTGCCAAAGGCTGCAGGGCCCGGGCAGACCCCTTCTTTTCCCTCAACCCAGCTTCATAGAAGTTGTCCAGGCTTGGGGACTGGATGGGCACTGGCTGCCAGGCCACTCTGGCCAGAGCCCACCTCCTCCCCTTGCCCCAGACACCAGGCCCCTCCTTACGCTGTGTGCCCTGTCTTCCCTATCTGTATGTGTGCCTGTGTATGCCTGCATAGGTCTATGTGGATACGTGTGTGTGTGTGTGTGTGTGTGTGTGTGTGTACACCCACGATAGGTGTGTCAGTGGAGGCATTGAAAGTTGGAGAGAGGAGGACTCCGGGCCATGGTGGCTCCCCATTCTCCATTTCACTCTGTTTAGATACAGTTCTGTGGAGAAGGGGGCGGCAGGGCAGGGGATGAACGGGGGTGAGGGAGGAGGGTGGGGAGGAGCCACAGGGGAGGGGAAGGAGTGGGGAAGCTGAAGCAGAGCAGATAGGAGGAGCCCCTCAGGGGTCTCAGGAGAGGCAAGCTGCACCTGAGTCTGGACCCTAGGTTGGCCACCCTCTGGGTCTATAGACCAGCCTCAGTTTTCTCATCTGGTTGATGTGAGCATTAAGTGAGTTCACACACACACACACCCACACAGCCGTGCATGCACTCACACACACCCACATGCACGTGGATGCGCGGGCGTTCGTATCCAATGAGGGACCAGAAAACTCCAACAGCACAGCCTGCGCTGGGAGACATGTAACCTCTGTTTTGACTGTCCGGAAAGCTCCTCCCCTCCATGCTTCACCCACAGCAGTCCCGAAGAGGCCCAGGGAGGGGCAGGGGCAGGCCAGGCTTTTGTGGAAGGTCCTCCTCTCCAGGCTAGAGCTGCCCCTGCCCTGCGCCCCTCAGTGCCAGAAGCAGCCACGGCTCCCCTCCATCGCCTCCCACAAGAGGCATCCCCTGAACCGTGGGTTCAGCCTTTGCAGCTTTTGCAATAAGCTGGGGGTGGTCTGTGCGAAAGACCCCCCTAGCAGCCGCCTGACTGGAAAACAGCTTTCTGTCCTCCCCGCTCTTTCCATGAGACACAGCCCACGCAGAGGCTGTGTCAGGCTGCTGGTGGAGAGCCTGGGTTAGGAGTAGGGAGTTAGACATTGGGGCAGGGGCAGAACAGTGACGTGGTTTCCAGGCAGCACTCTGACCTCTTCTGCTTTTGGCCAAGAGTGTGGCCACCCAGGGTGCTCAGGGACTAGCCAGTTGGGATGGTGATGGTGGGGGATAATAGCAGGGGTTCTATCACAGCCCTGGGGTCCAGGAAGACAGAGCGGGCATCACCCCTCTGCCCTACCCTAGCCCCCAGGGGCATCCCAGGGGCCAGGAGCTGGGACCAGCAGAGCCCCTAGGTAAGCATGGCATGGCGGAAGGCCAGGTGGTGTAAAGATTTGCAAATGAAAAGTCAATAAATGTGACCCAGTGGAAACATTTTTAGCCACAGCAAGCACAGGCAAATTTACGAGAGTTGTAAAACAAGACGTAAGTCTTCAAAGATTGGCTGCTTGCGGCAGCCGTGCTCAAGCCGTGCCACCAGATGCCCCAGGGCCCCAAGATAACTACCTTTTGGACATTGGTGGGAAAGGGCGAGAAGCTGGGATGAGGCCTTGGGACGGAAAGAGCCACCTCGTTGCCATGGGTGCACACGGGGCCTCTGAGCCCCAAGAGCTCCAGGTGCAGCAGGACACCCCCACGCCAGCCCTCAGCCACTTCTCTGGCATCTCCCAAGGAGCCTGGTGTGTAGGGGAAGGGGAGTCCATGCCCTGCCTGCTAGGCCATAATGCTCATGCCAACTCTGGGAAGTTGAAATTATTGTTCCCTTTTACAGATGATAAAACTGAGTCTGGGGGTGAGGGGCGAAACAGCTCATCCAGCTAATAAGGGCAGGAGCTGAGATCTGAACCCAGGCCAGTCTGACTCCCAAACCTGTACCCTTTCCCCAGCAGCTTTGTTTGTGGAGAAATGGGTGATGGGAGCCCCCCTGTCATAAATCAGCCCCCAACTGGGAGCTGCTCCAAAGCCAGGTGGAGGTGGGGCGCCAGGAGAAGGGCTTTGGGTTCCCTTGGAGGTGGGCTGGTCACAGCAGCAGAGCTGCCTCTCCCCCACCTGGCTTGTGTAGAAAACTCATAGTTCATCTTTGAATAATGTCACAGGGCTGCCCCTGGGCCCCATGCAGGCCACACCTGGCTCCCTGCATCCCTGGGTGTCAGTTCCAAAAGCAAGCATGCAGTTTTCAGAAACAACAGCATGCTTGAGGTCAGCTAAGCCCCTGTTTACGGTTCCACTTGTTCCCTGGCTGGGCACATTTGATTGCTTTTTCCAAAGGACCTGAAAGCAAAGTTAGTCAGGGGTGCCATCTTGTGGAGAGACCCTCCGTGGCCGGCCAGCTGTGTGACCATCGTGACGAGGGCTGGCTGGGAGCTGTGGCAAAATCAGAGAGAATTGAGCTTGCTCCCCAACAGTCTCACAGAACATGAGACACCCCCTGTGGCTATAAA